TTTCTTTCTTTCTTTCTTTCTTTCTTTCTTTCTTTCTTTCTTTCTTTTTTAAAGAAATGCTGCTTAATTAAACATTGTGATCTGGAGACTGGAGAGGGTGGTGCCTCTCAAGTCTGGTATACAGAGCTTGGGGGGAGTCCTGGAAGATGGAAGCCCCACTGTGTATCCTCACCCTCCCTCTCTGAAAACCTCATTCACCTTTAATTGGAGCAACGAAGCGGCCACAAAGGGTAAGCAAGCTGAGTTTGAGGGGAGCACTGGAGACTGCAGGCCAGCCAGGACCTCTGGAGAATATGTGGATTACAGACTTCCTTTCAGTCTGTGCCCACTGGGAGCTGAGGATCAGGATGGAAGAAACCAAGGCCCTCCAGTCTTCTGGATTGCTGGAATGGAACCAGAGACCGCTATGAACCCCTGCCTACAGGAGATGCTCCTGTCTCAAAGGGACTGATTTCTTGGAGAACTTTGAGCTCCTGGGATTTACTCCAAGCCCTTCAGCTGAGGTGCTGAGCCTTTCCTCAGCAGGAGCATGGTGATGTGCCACTATGGGAGCCTCATGCTTGGATGTGCAGGGATGGAGGTCTGTCTCTCTCCTCTGTCCCCCTGCAACTGTAGCTCTCACACTCCAGCTTGGGTCCCACAGGGATGCTCTTTACTTCCCCTGTGGATGGATTTGCTCCCTCTCATGCCTTCTGGTTCTCTTTATTTCAAGGTATTGTGATGGATAAGTTGAGAGTTCTGGAGTCAGTGTCTGTGGTGTAAGAAAAAATGCATATATTTGATCTTTGTCCCTAGTGCTTGACATACAATGTCAACAACTCTTCAGATTTCCTGAGTGATAAGAGTATCTTTTGTTGTTCATAAAAAGCCTGTTTTAGTCAGACCTGGACTTATGCTAATGTAACTTATGGTGGGTTTTTCACAGTCTCCAGGGAGGGGCTGGCCCTGCCAGAAAGACCAAGCATGGATTTAGGACTTTCAGCTCCATTCCTCCCTCCTCTGAGGAGGGGACAGGGGCGGAGACTGGGCCAGTCACATTGTCAATGAGTTAATCAACCATGCCTGTGTAATAAATCCCCTGTACAAACTCTGGGCACCAAGGTTTGGCAGAGCTCTACACACTGATGAGCTGGGAAGGGACAAGACATGGAAGCTCTGCGTCCCCCACCCCGAAGCTGACCTTGCCCTGTGCATCTCTCCCACTCAGCTGCTTCCGAGTTGTATCCTTTATAATAAAATGGTCCTTACAAGCATGGCACTTTTCAGTGAGTTCCACAATTCATTGAACTTGAAGGATGGGCTGTGGGAAACTCAGAATCTATAGTTTAATCATTCCAAATTATAGGTGGACCCTGGGACTTGTGGTCCCATGGGACAAAGACCTTTCCACCTGTGGGCTCTGTGGTAACTCCACAGCTTGTGTCTATACTGGATTGGATTGTTGGACACCTGACTGGGGGTGGATGATTGGTCAGTAAGCATGCAGGGCCCCAAGCACTTCACTTGCTTTGTTACCATGCACAAGTCACTCCACTTTCCTTTTTGTGCAAAAATGCAAGTAATGATTGTATCTGTATCAGTTTGATACTTTGAGATTTAAAAGGACTGCTATTGCATTCAGAATGCTGCCCAGAATGCAATAAGGTCTATTTTAATCTGTTTCTCATTTTCTTTGAGGGGTAAATGTCAGAAATAAGGTCATGGGTTAAAGGCTTAATTTCAGTTTCCCTTCTAGTGGGCAACATGCTCAGGAAATTAGGGGACTTAGTTTGGAGTGGAGTCTCTGGAACACAATCTCCCAGGGTAGAAAAGTTCATTCTGTAACCATGAATGGGCAAAAGGTATCTGTTTTCCACTTAACGATTTGTTGTTTAGTTGTATTGAGAATTACCTTAATGGACACATAATCCTCATTTTACGAATTATTAGCATTGATTCCTGGAGGACAAGAATATCTCTAGGACTGTGAACTCACTTTCATTAAGCATCTTTCTGCTCCCTAAACTGCTGTATATTCTAATTAAGGAGTTGTTAGGTACCAGTCATACCTTTTGGTAATCTAGAGCAGTGATATCAGCATCTAAATAATAAACAGGTGTATCAGTCAGAACATAGCCATCTGACAGAAACTGGACCAATTGTTTCAACTGAAGGAATTTAACATAAAGATTGTGGGGAATTAGAGGTTGGGTCTCTGAAAAGAGAGAGACAACACAAAAGTTTTATGGGGGGAATGACTTCAGCAAACAGGTAGTTGGCTTTATGAGAATGTGGGTATTTGGAGGAGGGTCCCAGGAGAGTGCTGCTGGGCTGCTGTTGGTGTGAAGTGCTGGTCTTGCAGGTGTGCAAAGTGGAGTCAGCTGCTACCGGCCGGGTGAGACCTTGATGTAGAAGCATCGAAGGACAAAGGGAAGCCAGACCGAGAATGTCTTCTCTCCTTTCCAGCCTGGCAGACTGACTGAGGAACTTCCCACAGGATGTATTTACAGGAAGCAGCTGACAGGCAAAATCATTTTTGCTCAAGTCCCAACTTTGCATCACAAAGAGGAGTACAGAGGGGTCAACTTGCTGCCAAAAGAATAGCTTGATAGTTGGCACTGTGTTACTTAGTATAGGGCATAGGTATAAAAAATACATTTGAGAATCAAGTAGGTGTGTGTGTCAAGAGATGATTAAGTGAGGTTTCAGAAGGTGGGAGTAAGGAAATAGGCAACAGGAGAAATCCTGACAGTTAATTTTAGTTTGTCAAGGAAGGCTTTGTCTACTAGTGGGGATGGGAGGTTAAAAGGAAGAAGATGATGAATATATATCACTTCTTTGTCCATTCATCTGTTTGTGGACACTTGGGCTGCTTCCATATCTTGGCTATTGTAAATAAAGCTGCAATAAACACAGGGGTGCATGTATCTTATTAAATTAATATCAGCCGTGACCAAGAATAAGATCAATTAGTAACAACACGAATGGACCCAGAGGGTATTATGCTAAAGTGAAATCATTTAGTCAGAGAAGGGCAAATATCATAAGATTTCACTCGTATGTAGAATTTAAGAAACAAAACAAGTGAGCAAATGGAGAAAAAGAGAGAGACAAACCAAGAAACAGACCTTAACTATGGAGACCAAACTGATGGTTACCAGAGGCGGGGGAGGTGGGGGGATGGGTGAAATAGGTGAAGGGGATTAAGAAGACACTCGCCATGATGAGCACTGAGAAATGTACAGAATTGTTGAATCACTATATTGTACAACTTAAGCTAGCATATACTACGTTATTATATTTCAATAAAAGATAGAGAAAAAGAAAGATATAATCAAATTCATGTACTTTACTGATTTTAAAAAAGCATCTGATGATTAGGGTGCCTGGGTGGCTCACACAGTGTTCAGTTCATGATCTCAGGGTTGTGGGATCAAGCCCTGCATCAGGCTCTATGCTCTGTGTGGTGTCTGCTTTAGTTAGACTCTCTCTCCTTCTTCCTCTGCCTCTCCTCCCATTCTCTCTCTCTCTCTCTCTCTTTGGAATAAATAAATAAACCTTAAAAAAAAATCTGACAATTGTTAATGATGGAAACATGAAAGATAGCAGTAATTCTTCAAGAAAAAGGTTGGCATACTTGATTTTGTTTTTTATCATGAACTGAGAGTGACATAATTAGAACTTTGTTTCTGCTAAATAATTAACATCAGAAAGAGGTGCCAAGAAAGTCTAGAGTAAATGTCATTCTCTTTTCCATACATCTCCCAATGACAAAAGACTCTATAACAAGATAGTCTGGTTAATCAGCTACCTGAATCTTTTATAAACTTGTATTTACTATGTAAGAAACCTTTATTGACTGAAGGCAGATCCTTTGTGGGTGTCAGTGAAATTTTTAGAGTGTTATTATCAGGTTTCCTTGAGGAAGATCTTGGCTTTCTTTTTGTTGACTTGAAGAGCTATCTACTCAGGTTGGACACCTTGAGAAGGTGGATGCCGGGCCATTTTTGACTAGAGCATCCAGGAAATGACTTTTAAAGATCTTGGCTTGAGTTTTAGCCAGTTATCACATCATCTCTAGTGATCATGCATCTAATTATCACAAGAAACAATTTAAAAGATTTTGTAGCTTAAAGCAGTAATCATGCAGGGAAATAGTTAAGTTATTCCAAGAATGCTACCTTTCTTGTAAGAGTAATTTTTAAAAAGGGGAAGATTCTAGGCTTTTGTAAAAGCCTTGCTGAAACAGTGCCCTCTGCTGCTGGAAACCTTTTTCTGCTTACTCTCATTTTTTTGTGGCTTGAGCTCAGTGACAAGGATTACGGTGTGGATGAAGCTGGATAATGACTAATTAATAGAATTAGGAATTTGCACAAATGGTAAATAGAACATAATTATTTTAAGTATTATTAAATGTTTTCCATTTTTTTTCTTTTTGACATTATTAAAAAAATCATTTTAAATGTCCTAGAAATGTCTTTAAGGTAATGTTAATTTTAGCTCTCTCTTAACTTTTGGCCAAGGAATTCAGGGCTTTCTGGCTAACTTTAGTGTGATAAATATTTATCAGGTGCTGCTCAATTCGTTGAGTTGGAAACACGATTTTAAACATCTACGATGGGTATAGAATTTGCCAAATGTAATTGAGTCTATTCTTCTTAAAGAATAAAAAAGGGTTTCTGTTGTCATTGTTGCACAAAGTCTAAGTTACTATGGGTGGAAACACAGCACCTGTGGGGTTCAGTCCAGGCATGAAGAAAATCCACTGTGGATGTGAAGCTGGCACGTTTCAGCCCTGTACCGGCTAGCCCTATGGGCAACATGATGCTGTTCATAGTCTATCTGAAAGCCTCCCGTAGCTCCTGCAGCTAACTGATTGTCTGGTAGCCTTTGCATTTAACAAACTAGCAGGAGCCTTTTTCTATCTAAATACTGTGTGATAGATAATTTCAGCTAGCCATATATTGTGTGCATTAGGTTCATAAAGACTTTTCAATCATTCATTTCCATTTATCAACTGAAATTTTGTTTGGTATGTGATTTTTTTTTTTTGTACTGGTGGCAATTCATCATGGAGCATATTAAAATTAATTTGACTCACCCCCTCAAAAAAAAAAAAAAGAATCTCATTATATTCACAGTATAGAGCAATAGATTTCCAAAGTTTTCCTGGCAAAGTGATACTTTTAGAAAAGTACCTGAAAAGCACACACCTTATCCTGTTTTCTTCATGAGTATTTCTCAGATTTTTCCACAAAGTATTCAGAAAAACAGAGGACAGTGAATTTCAGAAACCTTACCATAATATAGAACAGTGCATAAAAGCACACAAAGTATTTGAAACTTTGGGTTTTATGATAAAAATTTACCTACATTTTTCTATCTATTCTCTCAGTTTATTATAATGCAAGCATGCTTTCATTTAATTATCAGTTCAATTATTTAAATATCTTCTCAAGCATCAAATAATATTGATGCTTCTGGAAAATTCATCATGTTTACCTTGTGCTTTTATGTAACTCTAATGTAGAATATTCTGGGGTCTCCGGTGTTCCAGCTTCCTGCCAAACCATCCCCAAATTCAGTAGCTTGGGATAACTCACCATTTTGCACGTTGGGAATTTGGGCAGGGCTCAGCTGTGAGGTTCTTTGATTCTATGCTGTGTCTACTGAGGTCACTGTGTCGTATTGAACTAGTGGGCAGGAGGGGCTCAGAGAGCCCCATTCAGGTGTGGTAGAATTGGTTGGAAGCCTGGCAGAGGAAGGATGGCAGGTGATAGTGTCTGCCTACAGTCTTCCCAGCACGGCTACCTAAGGGCAGTTAGCCTTTCTACCTGGTGATTTACAGACCCAGACAGACTGTGTTAACTGCACACTGCCAGATTTCCTTTGATCTTGACTTGGAAGGTCTAAAATATCACTTTTACCTCATTTTAATAAGAAGTACTTTAAGATCATCTTTAATCTAGCACACCTGTTTTGAGAAATATAGTCTTCAGTCCTCTCAAATGTGTTCTAAAATTAGGTTGGATCTGTACATAGCTGTATGTGCGGACTGACGTCTTTGCATTCCATGCCAGATTGCTCTCGTTGAATTGTGTCCTGGACCTGTGCCATTAGGAAAAGTCAGGAGAGAAAGTTCTTATGCATTATTATGCATGTCACTAAGGTAGTTCTAAAGGGCTTTTAGTTATTACCTGGGGAGGGCAACCCAGCAGAAAATTTCTTTGTGGTTGTGAAAATGGGAAGAGTCATGATTCTTCTATATTTCTTAAATCAAATGCTATAGCTTTGCAATCTATATTTTCTTTTTGCCTTTACTATCAAGAAAACTTCTTCTATTTTCCTTTTGTCCTAATTGTCTGTTGTTGTTATTATTATTATTATTATTATTATATTTATTTTCTCTGCTAGGTTATGTTACTATCTGGGATATGTATGACAGCAGGATAGAAATGAGTAAGTTAAATATAAATAAATACAAAACATGACAAAAATGCAAATACAGAGTCCTAGTATTGTGGCTCTATTCTACTAAAGGAGGCAGTCAGTATGGACGTTAGTACTGGTCTCAGTTCCAACAGTTACTGGAACAACCATGACCATGTTACCACTCCAATAATCAAATTCTTACATGACAATGGAAAAATATAAAGGTTTTTACCTCCTGGGGATATTTTAAACAAGATAGCATACATAAATACACTTAATCTAGTACCTGCATCTTGGAAGCCTTCTACAAATGTTAGCTGTCACGATGACTTTGAATTTATTATTTAAACTTATAGTGTCCTTAAATTTGATTGTATTTATATCTTCTATTCTCAACTAGACATTCTTTGTTTAGGTATTATGCTATTTTGGTTTATGTCCATAAATCTAATATAGAGTCTTATGCATCCATAATAAATATGCTTATTTCTGGCCATTGGGTGGAAACTTCCTATATGAGAAAACAGACTTTGTGTGCGGGGGGCATCATCTAAAGTTACAGGAAGAGGAAAGTAATCTCCTTCATTTTTGGAATTTTAAAAAAGTCACATAAAATTTAAGGAATTTAAAAATATGGAGACAACCTTACCTCAGTAAGAATGGCTAAAATTAACCACTTAGGAAACAACAGAAAGGGGAACCCTCCTACACTGTTGGTGGAAATGCAAGCCGGTGCAGCCACTCTGGAAAATAGTCTGGAGGTTTCTCAAGACGTTAAAAATAGAGTTACCCCAGGACCTAGCAATTGCATTACTGAATATTTACCCCAAAGATACAAATGTACTGATCTGAAGGGTACCTGCACTCTAATGTCTATGGCAACAATGTTCACAATAGCCAAACTATGGAAAGAATCCAGATGTCCATCGACAGATGAATAGATAAAGAGGTAGTATATATATGATGCAGTATTACTCAGTCACCAGAAAAAGATGAAATCTTTCCATTTGCAGCAACATGGATGGAACTTGAGGGTATTGTGCTAAGCGAAATAAGTCAATCAGAGAAAGACAATTATCATATGATCTCACTCATATGTTGAATTTAACAATTAAAACAAAAGATCATAGGGGAAAAGAGGAAAAAATAAAACAAGACGAAATCAGAGAGGGAGACAAACCATAAGAGACCCTTAACCATAGGGGACAAACTGAGGGTTGCTGGAGGGGAGGAGGCTAAGGGATGAGGTAACTGGGTGATGGATATTAAGGAGGGCATGTGATGTAATGAGCACTGGATGTTATATAAGACTGATGAATCACTAACCTCTACCTCAGAAAGCAATAATGCATTATATGTTAATTAATTGAATTTACATAAAAATAAAGAAAAAAACAAAAAATATGTGGAGACAAACAAATTTATTATCTTATCAGATTATGATTCAGTTTCACATTATGTATCCTTAGGAGTAATGAAAATGGAAGAGGGAAGATTAGAAAGAGACAAATGGGAGAAAAATAAGAAAAAATAGGAAGATGGAAAGGGGCAAGAATTAGGAAACTAGAAATGAAAATAATTTGACAAATAACTTATTGAACACCAATTCTGTTTAAACAACTCCTAAAAACATATGGCCTCTGAGAACAAAAACTATTGGGAGAGGTGGGGTTTTAGGCACCATGACCACACAGAAGGTGAAATGTTGGGACAGGGACTTGGGGGGCTTTCAAATCTCTCAAAACACCTGTGCTATTTGGGTGTCAACTCCTTCAGCATACAACACGCTTGCCCAGGCTTCTGTCACCAACAGGGACTGTCATGTCTCAGAGCCTCATCTCCTGCAAAACCTCCAGGTCCTTGACAGGAGTCTCCTCAGAGCTCCCTTCACATCTTTATTCCTCAGGGTGTAGATGAAGGGGTTGAGGGTGGGGGTGATTATGGAATAGAAGAGGGAGATAAACTTGCCCTGATCTTTGGAGTAGCTGGAAGGGGGCTGCAGGTACATGTAGATGGCAGGCAGGTAGAAGAGGGAAACCACCACCAGGTGGGAGGAACAGGTCCCAAAGGCTTTGAGCCTTCCCCTGGAGGACTGGATCTTGAGTACTGCATGGGTGATGAAGCCATAGGAGAGAAGGATGAGGGCTAGGGGCACCAGCACAAAGAAGGCCACCAACACAGCCAGCGTAGCATCATTCATGGTGGTGTCTGCACACGACAGCTTGATCATGGCTGGCACCTCACAGAAGAAATTGTTCAGCACCTGCTGCCCACAGAAAGGCAACTGAACTGTCAGCACCACCTGAACAAGGGAGTTTCCAAAGCCGCTGAGCCAGGCTACAGCCACGAGCTGCTGGCAGAGAGGGCAGTGCATGATAATGGCATACCGGAGGGGCTCACAGATGGCCACATAGCGGTCCAGAGCCATGGTGGCCAAGACGATGCACTCAGTGCATCCCAGCCAGTGGAAAATGGCATACTGCACCGTGCAGCCACCATAGCTGATGGTCTTCCTGGAGCTGCCCATGTTGACCAGCATCTGTGGGACTGTGGTGGTGGTATAGCAGAGATCCAGGAAGGAGAGGTGTCCGAGAAATATGTACATGGGGCTGTGGAGCTGGGGATCCAGCCAGGACACCAGGATGATAGCGATGTTCCCCAACATGGCCAGAATGTAGGACACCAGGAGGACCACAAAGAGGGGGAGCTCCAGCCATGGCCTGTCAGAAACACCTAGAAGGATGAAGTCCTTAGGGAGATCCCACAAGAAGCTCTGGTTGTCACCTCTCATGCTAAGGCATTCTCTGGAGCCTGTGATGAATCAAAGTGAATGAAACCTGAGAATAGGAATTAGTTGCCTTCCTAATGGCTGTGCCTGAGCTTTCCTACAGAGTTGCATCCTGTCTTACCTCTGTGGAGACCCTGAGATGTGGGGGAGTCAGAACCAGGAGGCAGAGCAGCTGCCCATGTGTTTTGCTCTGCTTCCGGCTCTGTGATCTTGACTATGCCATTTACTCTTTCTGAAATTGAATTTTTGCATCTGTGACGTGGGAAGAAAATACTTGTCAAGTTCTGGGGATGATAGAGCGGTATGATGTTTGTGAAAACGTATCAAAAATAAATAGAAATTTTCTTCTGGTTTGGTCAAAGTCTGCTACATCCCCCATCACCATTAAAATGTTTGACTTCTCTCTGCAAACTCACTGACAGGGAGTTGACCACTTTCTTTGGTTTTCTTGCTTTGCCTTTTGGAAGTGGTGATAGGAGGGAAGTGAGAAATGGCACCAGGCAGGATAGGAGCACACTCGACTCATCTGCTAAGGTTTACACCTGGCTCTGTCAACATGAAGAGGTGCTCTCTTGTTTCCTGAACATGCTGATCTCTCTCCCAGGGCCGTTCACATGCAGGCAGCACTATCATGCACCTTTCAGTAAAAAAAAAAAAAAAAAAAAAAAGTACAATCCAAGATCCTCTGAGACCCTGGAGTGAAGGAGCTAAGTCACTTCAGCTGTTGATTTGGTCAGGGCACCTAATAAATCCCAGAGGATAGGGGTTTGAGCACTGGGAGAATGATCAGGATGTGTAAGAACCACAGCCCTTGGAGCTGTCTCTGAAGGATCAGACTGCCTCTAGAGCTAACATTTATGGGACAGTTTGATGGACGTTTAGGTTTCCTGAACAACTTTGTTGTGAAGCAGCTGTTTCCTTTTACAATCACAAAACACAGCTGATTTGATTTTTGGACTCTGTAGCTTTTAGAAAACAACTGGGTTACCACTTGCTGATTCATGGGTCCCTTCCACTGAGGTCCATCAGCCCCAGGGCCTACACTCTTCCCAGGACTGCAAACCCTCAAGTTTATGACAGCAATGATAAAGTGCATGAGACGACTGAGAAGGATTCATCCTTAGTTCCTTATTTGCTGCTTTATGCATAAACTATAAAATTCATGGAGATCTCTTCAGTGCTGCTGCAATAAGCAAGGGCTGCCCTTCCCTCCAAGTCTTGCATTCTTAAGAACCCTGGTGTTACTTGAAAACAGTCCCAACTCTGGGGTTGCAATGGATACCTAAGTGCAAATGACATTTCTCCCTCTGTTGTTTCAAAACTACATACACTTTCCAATATTCTTGTGGAACA